CTACATTGTTTTCTCCTTTTCTGGTTATTTCTTGTGAGTATTTTGCAAATCCAACTCATCAGAACCTTTGATGTCTGTGATGTCCAGGTATCCTACCCCAACACTGCAGGTGACTGAAGCAAAGGAGGACACGTGAATAAGAGGAGAAGGACGTCGTTGTGGAGGCGTGTCATTTAGCCCGAAAAGTGGCGTCAGGAATAGGTTTCGGCCTTGTCGTTGTTTGCCCAGTCCCCTGCTTAAACTATTTGCCACTCGGTCTCTGACAGGAGAGAAAGTGAGTAAGGCCTGAACGTACAAGTGCCATTGGCTGGTTGAGGAAAGCAAGCAAGTCATAGACGTGGCTAAAAAGACTTGGACGAACCGTAGTGAGCACAGTGAAATGTGGCGACACTGATCGAATCGTCGGTCAGCGCTGATGAGTTGTTAAGTGACGTCAACAAGTAGCAGGGACAGAGGGAGAAATTGGTTCGACACCGCTTAACGGGACTGTGGCGGTCTAGTGAGCAGGACTTTTGGACTACCGTCTCCATTGCCCTGCACCATCTTGTGTTGTTGCTATTCTACATGGTTTCCTGTGCTGTAACTAGCATGCAACTGGGATTCGATAAATCTCCACAGAAAAAATGTGCTCTACTGAACTTCCTTTGATGTGTCGGTGGAAGGTTAAAACATTCGTGGGGAGATTTCACCAGAGGATGTTGGCTGACTACTGTTGCTCTAAATACGTTTGCTTTAAGTTCACGCAGTCCATCAGATTCCCTTCTTCGGTTACGATGAAAACGGACTAAGCTTTCTCATCTCATAAGGCAATAGCCTAAGAGCGGGATCTCATTCTTTAGTATACACAATTAATCTCATTGAAATCCCCACCTCGTGCACTTTCAGAAGGCTGCAAATCGTTGGCACTTAATCATCTACTAGAATAAATTAGTTCATTTTTCATTTACTAATTTCCTCTGAAAGTGTGCGCAATGGCGAACATGAGTCTGATTAATAGGAGGAGCTGTTTGTGCGAGCTAAGACATAACAACCTCCCTAATTACAACCCCACCAAATAAAGGCTAAGTCTATTTTCATTTCTGGGCGGTACAATACTCCATATCCCCGAGTCTATCAAGTGAGTATAAGTAGTTCTTACCTAACTTCCCACCTTTATTTATGATATTCATTGAATTGCTTGGTCTGTTGAGATAGATAGCTTCTAATTTTGCACTTAGGTGCAGACATAACATAATCAACAAAATGGATAGTTTTCGACCTTGTTGAGGATACTTTAATTTCACATGAAAATGCACTATAAAGAGATTTTAAAATCGATCTCACTAGAAGACGACGGCATAATCATGTTGTCCTACAGTCGTTCAGACTTGATACGACGCTCAGGTTGACCCAGTACACCAAACATCCTACACTTTTTCGGGTGAATTGATGTTAGAGTACCTTTCATTTCGTTTGAAGAGGCGAGTGGAAGGTATTCGTAACTTGTCTCCATGTTTTCGTGAATCATCGTTAAGCATGGTGTCCTGCTCTGACGATGTCCGTCACATTACGGACGAAAGGTCAGAAAGGGTTCATCGGGCTCGCAGAGTGATGTGCCGATGGCCTATTCTCGCAAATCTACAATCACAGCTTCAAGGCAACACCCCGATATCTTTCGGTGAGGCCAACTCTTCTACTCGCCTCTTCAAACGAAATAAAAAGTACTCCAACTTTGGGCTAAGCATTTTTCCGTCATATGACTGACATCTTCGGATCTGAATCCAATTTTGTAGAAGTCTAAGTTTCACAAGTCCCAAGGATTGTCCTGCTCCATTTTGCGTCTTGTCTATATTCATAACTAAAAAACGAATATATATATATATATATATATACATCTAGCTAATTCATTTTCATATATCTATGTCAATACATTTAATTTTATAATCGAGTATATACCAGATGCAAGACATTCTTCCCGAATTAGCGATAACTGTTACAAGGATGGGTTCCAGCTTGGAGGATATCCATCATATTATGTAGGAAGGCTCTGCCCACTTAGGCTCGACACAAGGAAGGATATGTCATGCCTGGACATCGTAGTAAAGGCAAACGCCTGCAAAACAACGGAAATCAGTCGTCGTCTTCTAGTGAGATCGACCTTCGAATCTCTTTGTCATGCAGGTCAGAAGATTAATCAAAACCCAGTCTGAGATCATTGCCTTTTACGCTTAGTTTACGCCGTGTTCTACGCTACCTTTGATCGTCGAAACCAACAACCTCTACAGACATTTTCATATTCAGCCAATCCTTATCGGACATGACGACATGTCTCTTCAATATAAAACCTATCGTATGACAGCATTATTCTTTAGCAGCCGGACCTAGAAAATGGGTTTATGAAAGTCGGTATTGTTAATTAAAGTTTGATAGTTTTCTTGAGAACGGTTTTATTCCCCACTTCCCCCAATTCCTATATATCTTTTGATATAAGACACGCAATAACTGTTATAACATGAGAAAACGTTTATGTTTCTCCATTTATTCTGAGATGTGCCCTGTATAGAAGTACAATTCTTTTCAATCATTTTAAAATGTAAATCTTTGTTAAGTAGCTAGAAACAGACAAGAATTTAATTATAAAGCCAGTATACACACTTTCATTTAAGTATCACTGTCCAGGTAACATAAAAATCAAAGCGTCCTTAACTATTATATTTTACTGTTTTCATTTTAAAAT